GCAGCTCTGAGTGTGTCATGCTAGCCTCCCCAGGGACTTGAGGCCTTTCCTGTCCTTCCCAGACCTAGAGGATGCCTCAGTGCATCCTCAGGCTCCATTCCCTTCTGGTAGGCCACTGGGTCTCTGTTCCCTCCTGTCTACCCTCATTTCCTGCATGAGCCAGGAAAGGGCTCTGATCTTCCAGAAATGCCCATCCTCAGGAAAGCCTCCCATGTTCTCCCACACTCCTCACCCTTTTCCCTCATCTTGTTTTCTCTCCTAGAACCCTTTTTTTCTTCATATTTTGCCCAAAGGAATATTTCATACCCATTTGTGATCTTGTCTTATCCCCACTCCCCCATTTAACTGGAAGTCCCATGAGACCACGGCTCCATCTTGCTCACCACTGTTGGAGTCAGAACATTGCGTGTGTTCAGCAACTCAAGATGCTTCACACATTCCGCAAATAAACAGATGGCTCCTTTTGGAGGTGCTGGGTTTGGATTTTTTAACCATAAAATGTATTTATTTGGTCAGACTCCAATGTTTTCTGTCAAACCCAATCCAAAAAAGAATATATTTCTTCCTTAATAGCTAGTGCTGCAAAATTCTTGTTTCATTTTGAAGAATTATTCTAGATTTTTGTCCTTGTCACTCTTGAACTGAAAAAGAGAGGATCATGTGGCCTCAGTGTTTGTCCCAATATGGGAAGACAATTCTTATTTTTTTAGTGCTTTCTCAACACAGAAGCTTTCACTGTGCCTTTGAGTTGCCTTAAGGTGCTCAGGAAACAGGGAGAATAGAGAAAAAGCTTCCCAACCGGTTGGTCCAGTTAAGACACTTAAGTGGCTTAAGCCTTTGATATTAGTTTAACCAAGTTAGGAAGTTAGTAAGGCAGGAGGGCTTTCATGGATAAATCATTGCTCCCACCCCCAACCCCCACCTTAACTGTTCACTCTGCTGGGGACTGTAAATGGTGTCCTTTGTCTTCAGGCATGTAGAAGAAAGAGGTGGGGGCACTGGAAGGCCAGGGTTTACCTAGGAGGGACCCAGGTCTTCCTGTGCTTCCAGCTGAGATTTCTTCACAGGGTGGTCATGAAGTTTAAATAAAGCATCCCATGGAGTGTTCCAGGCTTCACAGCTCGACTTCAGAAAGAGTGCCTGGATTTTATGTATTGGACCTGTCGCTTCCCACCTCCAGTGTCCTCCGCTGTGGAGGGAGTGGGTGCTGGCACATCCCCTCACGCCTCCGGTCAGAGATTCTTTCATTCACTCACTCCACAAACATTTATAGACTAATAAACAAATGTTGATTGGCTGATAACATGTGACACACAGCAGGGATGCCAGTGTGGCTTCTGCTGTCACAGAGAATTATGTTAAAATTACATGTCCCTGGTGGTGGGGAGAGGATGGCATTTTGTTTGCTTCTGTCGTTGTAGAGAGACATGAGCAAAGAACTGTGGCCTCAGAGAATTTGGAAGTGGGGAATGGGGGGAAGCGGGGCCATGAGTGAATTTTCTTTGAGGGGAAGGTGACAAAGTGGTGAGCACCAGAAAGCCAAGCAAGTCTATGGGAGCAGGAGATCATAGGTCAAAGAAAAAGTGTGCAAGAGTTTGTGAGGGAGGGAAAAATAATTTTCCCTCTACCCTACTAAGTTCTTGGCTCACCCCCCTGTAATAGAAGACAGATCAACAGGAAAAAACAAAGCTGATTAATAACATGGGAGGGACCCAGGAGAACTTTGGTATCTCTCCAAAAGGGCACAAGACACCATCCTAAATACGATCTAGATAAGATGTTGAGAGGGACAGTTAGGGGAACTAATCAGGCCCAGTGCAGTCAGCAAGAGTGTGATTGTTATGCAGAGTTAAGTCCACACCTCTGTTGAGTAGTGTCTCCAGACCTTTGGTCATCCCCCTACTCCTGGTACACAGAGGGAGACACTCTTATAAAGGGAGATTTCCTTTATAAACATAACTGTCTCCTACAGAAAGATAACTTCTCGGGGCATCTGGGTGGCCCAGTTGGTTAAGCCTCTGCTTTCAGCTCAGGTCATGATCCCGGAGTCCTGGGATCCAGCCCTACATTATTGGGCTTCTTGTCCCACAGGGACCCCGCTTCTCTCTTTCCCTCTGCCTGCCACTCTGCCTATTTGTGCGCGCGCACCTGCGTGTGCTCTCTCTCTCTCTCTCTCTCTCTCTCTCTTAAGTCTTTAAAAAAAAGGAGGGGGGTAACTTCCCTAGGCTTTCAGAGCTTCTCCTGTATGGGCTGAGTCTTAAAAATAACCAGCTTAAGATAATCCTTGTGCCAAAGAGGCATATTTTGCGGTGGCAAATTCTGCTCACCTTCAAGTAAGAGCACATAGTAGATCTAAGAAGTGAAATGTCTTGTTTTGAATGGTGAGGAGAGAGGGAGAGGGGATGATTAAACCGCCCAGCTCCACCTGGGGCAGGTTATGCAGGGATCTGTGGGCCAAGGAGAAGGGGCTTGGATTTGAGATCAATACCCGAGTGCATGGAATGAGTTGATTATGTTGGACAAAGAGTCTATATGTGAGGAGGCTCACATAGGAGATGGCTTGGGGAGACTAAACAGAAAGTGTCCAAATGAGGAAGGGAAACCCTACCAGCATGGCCCTGGGCTGGGTGGGAAGGGCAGGTTACTCTGAGATCCAGCCTGAAGGTATGATGGACAGGATTCCTAGATTGTGGGATTTTGCTCAACTGAATGTTTATCTTGCCAATCAATTTCTCTTCTCCTGTAATCCTCAGGAGAACATGAATGTGACCTGTTCTGTTGACATGTTGTGTGCCTCTGTTCTTTATGCCAACTTCTAGACAAGGGCTGCTATTGAGGTGCTCAGTGTGAGTTCACCGAGCCAAGCAAAGTATCTGTCTGTTCCCCGGTTCTAGATAATAGGTCAATGCTATAAGTCAACAAGACAGTCTTTCAGAAGGCAGCATCCTTCTGAAGGGGGAGGAAAGTCAAGGCCAAATCACATATTCTGGGACTTTTTAGGAATTTTAGGAATTTTAGGAATGAGAAGCTGAATCCTAACATAGGGCCCAAATTAGGCCTGAGCACAGAGCCCGTCTGCTGCAACCCCTCCACTCCATTGGGTGAGTTAGGTGCCAGCGCCTCCATGTTCCCATAGTAATCTGCTCTCAGCCTGACACCCCCTTGGCGTTTGGTACCATCCTTAAATTTTTAGGTGTCTGGCTCCCCAGCAGAGCACATCCTCTGTTTGTGTAACTCCTACACAGTTGTGTGCCTCGCACCTGATACCCAGTGAGTGTCGATTCAATCGGTGCATCATCCTCACCCACCCAGACTGCTGTAGGTGAGAGTGTATAAAGGGCTCCTACAATGGTTATTCGATCTCCCCTTATAAAGTAGTCAGGGAGGGAAGGATTCCTCCCCTTTTGCTCATGAAGAAGGGGAGGCCTAGAAGACGGGCTCATGAAGCCCTTTGTGCATCAATAGTCCTTGGAGCAGTTCAGAACAAAAGTTCTGATGCATGAATCATGAGGAATAAGATCTGGATTTTGATGGTATGCAGTTCTGCTTGGGAGTGAGGGAGTCTGTGTGTGCCTCTTGGATCCCTGTGTGTTTCTGATGTTCGGCAAAGTTTAAGAGTTGCTGGCCCACATAAGTGCTTCTCGGGCCTTCACAGACATACGAATCGTGTGGGGATCTAAATAAAATGCAGCCTCTGATGCCACAGATCTGGGGTGAGACCTGAGTCTGCATCTCTGACAAGCTCCTGGGTGGGCTGAAGCTGCACACCAACAGACCACACTTGCTATCCCGGGGCCTGGATGTCCAGAAACTTTGGAACCAAACGCAGGAAGAGAGAGGATGGAGATGTGGAAGGGAGAGTGGGATGTGCTCCAGCTGAAATATCAGGTCCAAATGTATACACTTTATGCCACAAACTTGGAAAGCGAAATTGTGATTGGATGGGCTGGCTGAGTCATGGTCACCTCCATGGAGGGGCCCGGGCTGCGCCATCGAGAGACAGATCTGCTAAGTGGAGGAGAGAGAGCGAACAGGGACTTCTACTACCTCCGCTTTGACCTCAGTCTGTGTGTTCTAATTGATGAAATTCTTCTTCCCAGCTTATTTCTTAACTCAGGCTGAAGAGCCAGTGGGTGGGACGCCTGGGTGGCTCAGTAGTTGAGCACCTGCCTTTAATTCAGGGCGTGACCCTGAGGTCCCGGGATCGAGTCCCGCATGGGGCTCCCTGCAGGGAGCGTGCTTCTCCCTCTGCCTGTGTCTCTGCCTCTCTCTCTCTCTCTGTGTCTCATGAATAAATAAATAAATTCTTAAAAAAAAAAAAAGAAACAGCAGACATGAGAAACTCTCTGAAAACCAAGTAGAAGTTACCGTTTTACATTCATGAGGGAAATCTCCATTTTGGGGGTGACTCCCTCTCTGTGCCAGGACCAGGAGGGTGATCAAATCTCTGGCAACTTGTCTGAGCAGAAGGCCAGGACTTAAATCCGCATATCAACCATATCTCTTTTTTCTGTGCTTTTCCTGGTAGCTTGCGTGACTGCCTTTCTCCCACCCCCATCACCTTCAACATCTTCTCACATCTTTAGCTGGAGACAGTATTTATAAGGTGGTGTCTTGGTCCCTTTTGGGGAGTTACTCAGTTTTCCTGGATGACTCCCATCTCTACGAAACATATACATGTTATTATACCTCTGTTTGTTTTTCTCTTGTTAATCTTTTATTACAATGGGGTCTGAGCCAAGAACCTAGGAGGATAAAGGGAAAATTTTTTCCTTCCCTACGATGTCAGTGCTCGCTTTCCTACTTCCTACCTTAACCTCTGTCTTGTCCTCCGTAAAATGGGGATAAAACATGTAACTGCTAATGGTACATAGAAAATACCAGTCAATTACTTAGCGCAGTGCCCGCACCCAGGAAGTGGCCAGGAAACAGTTGTTGAAAATCACCACGTAAGAGGAGGCCTGGAATCGTTCATGTTTTCTGTGTGTTTGGCTTTTTAGTCAGGTCTAATAAGGACACAAAAAAACGAATTCCTCATCTCACCGTTACCTCAGCTGCTGGCCCAGGAACATAACTACAGCGCACCTGCAGGACACCATCCCCACGTACTGTACAAAAGGACGGCCGAGGAGAAGGTCCACCGTTGCCATGGCTACCTGGACTCCAGCGGACGTTCTTCCGGTCACTCCCCAACTCACACTCCCCACACATCTCGGAGTCAAGAAAGAGAGCATCACCACCCAAGGTTGCAAAAGCAGCATTTTTGTGGACGACGCAAGAAATGTATGTAAGGAAACTTTTTCTTATTCTGTTCTCATGCGGGGCCCTCCATAGGCTTTCTTGAGTGTAATTGGGTGTGCTGACTTTGCAGGTTAAAATTGGGGCTACACTGGGCATCCCTTGAAATCAGTCTTGGAGATGGACCAATATTCATCCCTGTCAGGCAAAAACTGGGCGACCAATTCTCAATTCTTCTAGGTTAAACTAGGAAAGATTTTGATATGCTTTTGTTGGTTTTCATTTAGCATCTCCTATGTTTTAGTCTTGGGTCCCCATATTATCTTGGTTTCTGTGCTCATGAGAAAGGTACTGAGTCTTCCAATGATGAGAGAAATCAGAGGTGGATCCTCAGGTGTGGTTGGATGTTTGTTCCTTTTGAGCTCTTGAAGGAGAACTTAACAGGAAATGAAAACATTGGCACCTACATGGAGGTGACACTGAGATAGATACAGGGCCCCTTGGGCATGCTTGGGACCCAGCCATGGCATTCTGCACTTCGTAGACCAGTGGTGTCTAAGAGAAATAAATGTCAGCCCCACAAATAGTTTTAAATGTTCTACTGGCCACATTTATTTTTTAAAAATTAAAGATAGGAAATTAATTTTAATAATATATTTAACCTGATATATTACAAAATATCTCAACATGCCATCACTATACCAAATTATGTATCAGGTTATTTTATATTAAGTTTTGGAAATCTAGTATTTGTTTGACAATTAGAGCACGATTTTAATTTAGACAACAAATTTTCATCAGAAATAATTAATTTGTATTTGAGTTTCATGAAATTGAAGGTTGGAAGTGTAGATTTACATATTCAGGTTCTCCTAAACTCCCTTGTTTTCCAATAAGTGCAGCCAGTATTGCTTTCTTACTTTAAATCAAAATTAATTAAAATTAAAATAAAAAATTCAGTTTCTTCAGTGGCACCAGCCACATTTTAAAGGCTCAGTAGCCATAAGGGTAGGTGAGTGCCTGGTTGGACAGAGCAGCCAAATGGTGGTTCTACCCAAGGAGAAGGGGAATGGATATCCCTGAGCAGTTGATTGGGAGCAACGATGAAATACCATGTTTCTAGCATTTTAATTGGTCTTTGGGGATTTGGGGTGTTAACAAAAATTTCCTCTTTAAGGAACATCTATTTGGCATGGATTTATAATAATAGTGATATTCATAGTGACAGTGATATATATTTGATAGGAGATATCAAAGCTAATATTTAAAGCAGGCGTCAGGTTGGTATTATGGATATTAGACTCCTTTCATTGAGAAACTGAGACTTAGGTCACTTATCAAAGTGGCCAACTTGAGGCTTTATATCTAAACTATATAATTTGATCTTTTAATTTCACTCTATGGAGAGCTATCTTGACTTCACTATTATGACTCTACTAGTTGTTGAAGTATTAAAATAACTCTGTATTAGTATCACATTTCCAAATGCCCTATTGCCCCCCAGCAATCCTTGGACTTGTCCCTCTCCATTAACTGAAGGGATTATGCCTGGGGCCTAACATCCTGAGACTTCCAAGTCTCTTCCTAAAGGCCATGGCCAATATCCATTCTGTTAAGGTGGTGCCTGCACCTTACCTATTATGAAATATTTCATATTTTAAACATCAGCGCTGACTATGCTATTTCCCCCCAAACGAGTTCAATATTAGGTCAAAGAGTCCTTATTAACCACTTATTTTGTGCTATATTCTAGCTTGTGTTGATGAAACAAGGATATTAGACATGGACAGTGTTCATTCTGTAGGACGTATATTTCTAAATTTTATTTAGAAAATAATATATAAAGTGTCATGAATTCAGAGGCAAAGGGTAGCGTCTACTTCTGCAGTGTTTTATTTTATTTAGAATAAAATAAAATGAACATTTTCTGTTTTTAAAGACTATTCTAGCAAAATTGATTTTTGTCGACCTGCTATACCAACTAGATTTGTAGTTTGGTTGTGTGTGTGTGTGTGTGTGTGTGTGTGTGTGTGTGTTTACTCATTAGAGTATTTTTGAGTTATTGTCTATTCATCTACCAACTTGTTTGAATGAATCTTACTCAACCAAAAACTAGGTACAAAGCCCCAGGACAAGCACTGAAAGCATCATTTATCAGTAGATCAGTGAAGTGTTGGTTACAGACTCTCTCCCTGCCTTGTGTAGATTTCTTTCTCACTCAGCTGTTCTCCACTGGTAATCCCTTCCAAATGCTCTTATGTTCGTTGTAGATGCCCCTAAGCCTCCCACGGAGGATACCTATCTCAGGTTTGATGAATATGGGAGTGCAGGGCGACCCAGAAGATCAGCTGGAAAATCACAAAAGGGCCTAAATGTGGAAACTCTTGTGGTAGCAGACAAGAAAATGGTGGAAAAGCATGGCAAGGCAAATGTCACCACCTACATTCTCACAGTCATGAACATGGTAAGGGAGTTTGCCAGGACTCCGATGCTACTCATCCTCCAGAACAGCTAAAAATTAAGAGTATTGGGATGCCTGGGCGGCTCAGCGGTCGAATGTCTGCCTTTGGCCCAGAGTGTGGCCCCGGGGTCCCAAGATCGGGTCCCGTGTTAGGCTCCCTGCATGGAGCCTGCTTCTCTCCCTGCCTGTGTCTCTGCCTCTCTCTCTGTGTGTCTCTCATGAATAAATAAATAAAATCTTTTTTAAAAATGGAATGGTTTAAAAAAATTAAAGAGTATTTCCTTGTGTGGATTGAATAGCAGATATAGCCACATTATTTTATTGGAAAAAATGAATTTTGAGGAGATTGGCTTCATATGTACATATATTTGGTGAAGTTGAGGCCTGTATACTTATAAATATGTCTGATTGATACACAGAGTTTTGGAAATTTTAAGATTTACTTTATTTTTGTTTGATTTCAAATGTTCCGACAGGTTTCTAGCCTATTTAAAGATGGGACCATTGGAAGTGATATAAACATTGTTGTGGTGAGCCTCATTCTTCTGGAACAAGAACCTGTACGTGCCATACTTCACTTATTTCTTAATTCATTCTACCATTCAGCATCTACTTATTGAATACCTACTATGTATTGATCCGTGAACTAGTCATTAAGAATTCCAACTTAAAAATATGCTGATCCTATCCTCAAAGAAAGTAGAACGTAATAGGGTTGTGTATTCGAACAATGAAAACATCACAAAATAATTACATATATGTGCGTGTATATATGACACACACACAATGACATATATATGCATATATAGTATAAATGTTACATTCTATATAAAAATACAAATATTATGTAGGCTTTACAGGGAAGGTGCCTTTGATATCAGATTTAAGGGTTAGTTGAATTTTGCACGTTGGATATCCTGGGTAATTTGCAGGTAGATGCAAAAGGATATTTTGAAAATATACAGAAAATAAGTTATCAGAAGATTCTTGTAGTAAACTTACTGTTTCCCCAACACCATCTTAGTAGTGCAGAGACTAAATAAGGAATATTTAACTGCCCTTGAATTGATTACCTTGAAGTGTAGGTCACAGGCACAGAGTAAATTATAAAACCAGAACATATAATAAAGTGTTAATTGCATGGCACCCGCTGCTTTGTAGTGTTTTGATGCTGAAACTGTATTTTTCTGAAGTGGAGACTACCACAGGTTTTTAAGACCCCTGTGGCTTCTCCTCTTCATCTGCAACCCCAGTAATTAACGTACAAAGCAAGGAGTCAGAGACAAGACAAAAATTAATTGTCCAGGTGTGTAGAGCAACAGAGGTTAACAACCTGTCAGATTGTTCTTGGAATTTTAGAAGGGTAGAAAGGAGGATGTGTGTCATTGGGAGACACTTTTGTCTTTAACCTACCACTTATACTTTGCCCAAGGTCATTGAAGCCAGAGGCATCCTAATTCATGGATAATTAAAGACCTAGTCTAAAAACCCTCAACTTGATCCAAGTCAATAGTTTTAAGCAAAGATTTTTGGTAAATAATTATCTTAAGGCTAGGTCCTATCTTACCCTCTCAGAATCTTATAATTATTTGTTTCTACATCCATTCAGTGAGCTTTCATTTTATTGATTGATGGATGGATTGATGATATGCCAAGCCCTTTGCTGGAAATTTTGGCATAGGAGTAAATAAGCTGTGGTCACTACCTTGCTTGTACTATATTAAAGAAGGCATTGAACTTTATCAACAATAGCTTATAATTAGGTTCTAAAAGCTATCACAGTTTTATAAAGGTGGTACCAGCATGAGATGGACACAGATATTCCATCTGATGTCAGGTTATTTATTCTTTTATAGAATAGAACTAATCATACAATATACTGCCAAAACTCTATAGTTACTTGAAATATTGTGAGCATTTACTTGAAATAATTTTAGGGTTTTCTTTTATCAGTTTCTCCAACCTTAGCTCAAGTGTTTTCCTCCACTGACCTTTCTCCCTAGAAACATGATGTTTCTGTGTTTGCCTGTACAAATGGAATGATTCAACGTTCTCACTCCTGACAAATTCACCCTCTGGTTTGTGTGGGTTTCCCATAGGGAGGATTATTGATCAACCATCATGCAGACCAGTCTCTGCATAGTTTTTGTCAATGGCAGTCGGCTCTCGTTGGGAAGAATGGCAAGAGGCACGACCATGCCATCCTACTCACAGGATTTGACATCTGTTCCTGGAAGAATGAACCATGTGACACTCTAGGTATGGTATGAAGGGAGGCTTCTCTCACGCCTGTGAAAACACAGTATGGAAACTTTCAACTGGGTGGGTGGCCCTTAGGACCCTTAATAAGAAGAAACATCATATTTAAATTGTGGGGTAGTAACTTCACTCAGCCCTGTGGCGAATATTGTTCTATTTAACCAAAGTCAAGGTAGAATGGTGAGCTTCATTTCCTTTATTTGTTTTGGGTGTTTCCTTATGAACTCTATGGGATTGAGGTAAATTGTTTGACCAGAAAAATTGTGGTTTGTTCCATAAGCATGAATGCAGCTGAGTAGCTGAAGAGAATTAGACTGATCGCCATGGTGTATAACTGTGCCCCTAGGTAGCATAGCAGTGCATCCGTTAGAAGGTTACTTGACTTTTAAGGGACTCAGCTGTTCTATATTTACCTAAGACGCTGAGTAAGGACTGTATCTTCTACATTTATACTATGTTTTCTAGTATATTCCATTGCATACATTAGGAACTCAAGAAATTTTTTTGGTGAATTAATGATCATTTAGATCAGTGGTGATAATGGCAGTGGTGGTAATGATGGTGTCACTGATGATATGTGCCAATACATTAAGTTTCTCAGATCATCCCGTGGATCTCATAGCAGCAAAATGGATTCAGTCAGTCCACAAGTGTGCATTTTATACTAACTGAGTCCATATCCTTGTTCTGCACATGAGGACCCAAAACTTGGAAGAAAGACCTGTACCACTATCATGTGATTCAAGATAGAATCAAGTACTGGCTGAGATGATTTGATAGCTGCTCTTTGAAGGATGTGGTTTTGGGGTTTGTTTTGTTTTGTTTTTAAGATTTTTATTTATTTATTCATGAGAGACACACACAGAGAGGCAGAGAGACACAGGCAGAGGGAGAAGGAGAAGCAGGCTCCATCCAGGGAGCCTGATGTGGGGACTCGATCTCCGGTCTCCAAGATCAGGCCCTGGGCTGAAGGCGGCACTAAACCACTGAGCCACCTGGCCTGCCCAATGATGTGGTTTTTGAAAACAGAAGCATTTATCACATTATAGTGAATATGAGAAAAATGCACTTAATCTGTTCACATTGTTCAGGCCTTTTCATGTTGTCTGCATCAGGAAAAGACCAGGATGTATGTTCTCTTAGGAAATATACCTTGAGCTTTGATGCTAACAGCACTGTTAAGTGGACATTTTGCATCAGTTTAACTTAGATGAGGCCTATAAATGTCCTGCAGCTTCTTATTCTAGATGCAAAATGGAAATTACAATACTCATACTGAGTTCACAGGGCTGTGAGGAGGATCTGTTGACAATATTTTTTAAAAGGCAAGAAAATGTTAAATACTGTGTTTATCTATCAGGGCAGGACAAATAATCATATGCCTATAATGCTTTTCTGCAAAAATATTAAGTACATTAATCAAACTAAAACTAATTGTGTGAATCAGTTAAACTAAAACTCTACAGAACATTTTGAAGCCATAAGAAATGATCAGGTATCAGTATATGTTCCCTTTGGCCTAACATTTGAAATTGCTCTCTCAATAGGATTTGCCCCCATCAGTGGAATGTGCAGTAAGTACCGCAGTTGTACCATCAATGAGGATACAGGGCTTGGCCTGGCCTTCACCATCGCTCATGAGTCAGGGCACAAGTGAGTGACCCCTGGATTCACTACTTTACATGAAATTGGTTGGGTGATTCATTGGCATCCCTCTAATGATTATTGTTGATCTAGTTAGAATAGATAGGCTAGATCTTGGGTAAAGCTTAGATTAATACCTCACTATAAGAAGGGTTGATGAAGGCCAGTCATTGTGACTAATGTTTTTTTTTTTTTGAAAAAACAAAACAAACAACAATGTTTCATAGCTGTACAGAATTACAGATGGACTGCGAGTCATCTAATGGACCCTCTGGTCTTTTAGGAATGTCTTCCATGCTGTGCTGCAGTGAAGATTCTTTTTTAGTTCATTATGCCAAGGAAATAATCATATAGATGTGTAAATTTCCAGAATGTAGTGATATGTTAATTGTTCAAAGACTTTCAGTACACACACTGGATATTCTTGGTAGTTGGTGTCATTGCATGTACTTAGTATTGTTGTCAGTGGTGTTAGTAAATCTTTCTGAGAATAGAGTTTGAAATGAGGAATGAGAAACCCAAGAGTAATGAGTTGAATTTATAAGACATGTTTTCTGGTGCTGAGGCAGTTCTGGAGAGGATTTTCAAACGGTCCTTGGACAGTGGCATTCATATTGAAATAAGCACGCTGCTTTACAAAATGACCTTTTCAGAGGACAAGTTCTTTGGATATATGAGTTTAGGAGTGTTTCTGTGTGTGTCTCATATTCAGCATTTATATTAAATGCTCATTTTCAGTGCATCTGATTGATCTCTGACTTAAAAATAAAAGCAAAATCATCTCCACAACTATAATTTATATTTGAATATTTTGTATTTTGAATATTATGAGCATATTCTCACCCTTAAGATATAAAGCAGACATATCGTTTGATTTTGTGGCCAAGACATAGTAGAACAAAGCGCTTAGCATTCTTTAGAATTTTCTACATAAATTTTACAGTACTATGGTTGACTTTTTAAAAAAGATTTATTTATTTATTTTAAAGAGAAGGAGCGTGCAAGTAAGGGGGAGGGGCAGAGGAGAGGGAGAAAAAGAACTTCAAGCAGACTGTGCACTGAGTACACAGAACCCAACACAAGACTTGATCCCAGGTCCTTGAGATGACGATCTGAGCTGAAATCAAGACTCAGATACTTAATTGACAAGCCACCCAGGCTCCCCTATAGTTGACCTTTGAACAGCATTGCTTTGAACTCTGTGCAGGTCCACTTACATGTAGATTTTTTTAAATATAAATACAATATAGTACTTTAAATGTATTTTCCTTATGATTTTCTTAATATTTTTTTCTCTAGCTTACTTGATTGTAAGATATGTAACATGTAACATACAAAACATGTGTTAATTAACTTTTGGTTATTGGTAAGGCTTCCAGTCAACAGTAGGCTATTAGTAGAAGTTTTGAGGGAGATAAAAGTTATAGTTGAATTTTCAACTGCAGGTGGGGAGGGTCAGAGCCCTTACCCCTGTGTTGTTCAAAGGTGGGTTGTATATAGTAACTCATTTTTGTCTGTCTTTTTTCTTACAAATTTTATAAATCTGTCTCTCACTTGGGTTCATTGATTGTCAATGCATCTTCTTCCTTTGATTATAATTTGGAAAATGGGTTCACAGAAAGATTTCTGTTTTCATCTTTCTATTTCAGCTTTGGCATGATTCACGATGGGGAAGGCAATCCCTGCAGGAAGGCTGAAGGCAATATCATGTCCCCCACACTGACAGGAAACAACGGGGTATTTTCCTGGTCTTCATGCAGCCGGCAATATCTCAAGAAATTCCTTAGGTGAGACAAAATAAAGCCAGGAGTATTCTGAGGGTTGGAGTGGTGACAGCAACCCATGCTCAACAGACGTTTAAAATAAATACTCAGGGGATTGGTGATGGTGATGATGATGATGATGATGATGATGGTGGTGGTGGTGGTGGTGGTGATGACAATGATATTGTCATCATTATTGCTATTGAAAAAATACATTGAAAGTCTAATACTGTCTAAATGCTCTGCACATGTTGCCTCATTCAATCTTCATGGCAATCCTATTATGATCCTTATTCTCCAGTTGAGGAAGCCGAGTCATAGGGAGGTTAATTGTGTTGTTTAATATCCTACAGCTGCTAAGGTGTAGCCATAAGACTCAGAGTTAGGTGTGCTTCTGTTCCCAAGATTTATGCTTATAACTATCTCCCCTTTATGACCTCCAGACGCTGCTAGATATACTTTTTACTGTGACTAATTATATTAATCTGATCAATCAATTCAGTCATAAGAGTATTAAAAATGATAAAATGCTACATGTGTTCTATAATGAACGGAATATTGTCTTGCTTAGCTATTTTGTTTTAAATGACCATGAGCTATCTGTGTGTCCAGAACACATCCAATAGGGATGATAGGTATATAAAATCTCTTTGGTAACTCAAAACTCCTATATGGCATTAGTAAAATGGAAGTTAGGAAGGTAGCACTATGTGATTCATATTAAATGATGAGCCCAAAATTGAACTCTTTGAAGTTTCCTCTAATTTTATTTAGCAACCATATATATTTGACCATTGTAATTATAATAGCACTCTAGCTGTTATTAGGTATCTCACCATGCTGTGTTGACTCACAAGAACACTTAGGTTCTAATCCCATTTCCCTTTGACCAAATGTTAGGGCAACTAACAAAATTTCTTTGGGAATTCATAATATTGATACCTTTTTTTAACCTGTACTATTGCATATTATTTGCAGATTTTTACAGAATTAGTAATACAGGGAAAGCTGATTAAATGTAAAGATGTTTAACCAAACAATGTCCCAAAGAACAGTAAAAAATTGACAAACCTTTTGTTAAGTACGTTTCATCAAATAGAAAATTACCTTGGGGCACCTGGGTGGCTCAGTCAGTTAAGCATCTGCCTTTGCCTCAGGTCGTGATGCCAGGGTTCTGGGATCAGGCCCCATGCCCGGGGGGGCTCCCTGCTCAGCAAAGAGTCTGCTTCTCTCTCTCCCTCTGCCCTTACCCCACTCATGCATGCTCTCTCACTCTCTAGTGTGCTCTCTCTCTCAAATAAAATCTTTTTTAAAAATTAGAAGGTTGTCTTAATAGTTCTAAATTTATGATTGGGGCTTGAAATTATCTTTTCTATCTCATGTGATAATGGACTCAATAAATATTATAAATCAAGGGCACCTTAATGAGATTGAATTTCCATCATTAATATGATATAGTTAAATGTTTTGGGATGATGATAACAACAGTTGACTTTGAATGCTTAATATGCCTTTTCTTATTGGATCTGTTAAACTCTTGTTGGAAGTCATTGTCAATAATGAGGAATATTAGCGTTGTTCTTGGTCTCATGATTGACTCAGATTCCCATCTGTCTGCCTCCAAAATCATCCCTAATCACCATGCTATTTTGCCTTTCATTGGTACCATAGTTTAACTATGTAAGTTAAACGGAGGGAAGGTGCCTTTTTTTTTTTAAGATTGATTTATTCATTCATGAGAGACACACACACACACAGGGGCAGAGATACAGGCAGAAGGAGAAGCAGGCTCCATGCAGGGAGCCCAACGCGGTACTCGATCCCGGGACTCCAAGATCACGCCCTGGGCCGAAGGCAGGCGCTCAACCGCTGAGACACCCAGGGATCCCTGGAAGGTGCTTTTAACAATATCCACCATCAAGACCGATTTTTTTCTTAACACATCCCAGTTGAGCAGACTTTGGGAAATTATCCTGCTTATTGCCCCCAATGCATCCTTTCTCCTGATGCTTTCAAAAGCCTTGTTTATTTTTTGCTTATAAAGATTATTTGAGGTAAAGCACATCTTTGACCACTGCCCCATTATTCATAAAAAAATACAGCATGACTTTCAACTCCATGAAGACAGGTACTGTGTCTGGCTAGCTTATTTTGTATCTCTAGCACTTAGCCTGATGCTTACCACACAGTAGGCACCCAATGCAAATTTGTTGAATATTGTCAAATGAGATTGTTGGGGGGTTTCCAAATATATTGACTTTTCCCATCCAGCAGACCAAATCAAACTACTTGGATAGCTTTAACTTCTCATACCAGGTAAAATCTTCCATAGTTGTGTACATTTCACCCTCTTAAATAGGCTAGGATTCACTCTCTGGGAAAAAAAATATACATTTTAACTTTAAGTATTACCTATATCTTTCACCATGATATATTTTTCTTTGCATGAGTGATTCAGAGGTGTACTGTTTTACATGGAAAGATCATGGATAAACGTAGGAATTAACAATGATGTGTTTTCACGGCAGCACACCTCAGGCTGGGTGCCTGGTGGATGAGCCCAAGCAAACAGGACAGTATAAATATCCAGACAAACTACCAGGACAGATTTATGATGCTGACACACAGTGCAAGTGGCAATTTGGAGCAAAAGCCAAGTTATGCAGCCTTGGTTTTGTGAAGGTATGTTTGCTTGTGATTTCAAACTTACATTAAGATTCTGCAATGTGTCTGTGTCCCTAACAGAAATATAAACATTTGGTTTGCTAAGGCCAAGGGTTAGAGTCTGGGTTATCTCTAAAATGTCAGTTGTTTGGCATGATAATTAAGTGGCAATTTTACTGTCAATGAATTATCCAGGCTTATCCCCCATAGGCCATGCCTGGTTTAAATACCATCTGACTGCATCCTTGGAAGAAAATCCCTCCTGTGTGGATGAGGATTTCATCACAAGCAGTAAATCTGAGTACAGTCACGTTTACCTCCTTCTTATCATTCTATCATTGTTGTATTCATATTTCTTTTTAATGTGATACACTGAGAATCATCACCACCTCAAAATATATACATATGCCTTTATGGAATATGAAAACTACTGCTGGAAGCCAACTTCTTTGTGTTTTAAGTCTTCCCTTCAATATTATGAGGAACATGGATGGGAAAAGCAAAAAAGTCCAAGCGATAGAAATGGGAGAAACATCAAACAAATTGGCCAAGAAATCCATCATTGGCCATCTCAACATCAATACAGTGGAATCAGTTTCGAGTTTTTCTTCCCTAGTATTCAGAGAGAAACATGGAAATCCTAGGTATCTAGAAACAGGGAAATGACACAGTTTTATAGCTCTGTTTCCCTGTTCTCTTCCTATTCTTCCTCCTTTCTGTCCCTTGTCTTTTCCTTTCCTTCTTCTGCAACCAGCACCACCACCACCGCCAGCATCATTGTGGATAGCACTGCCTCTTCCACCACCACCCCCATGTCCAGCAGTTGCCATGCGAGCCTCTGCTCCACATCAGGCACCTTCTTAGAGACTTATTTTACTTTTCCTCAATCTTCACAAAGACCTTTTGAAATGAGAGTTATCATTTTTTACATGGAGTTCAGAGAATGTGTATTCCATTTGCCCAAAGCCTCAAAACTTTTAAACAAAACCTATCAATCACAATGATGTTAAAACTTCCTTCTCTGCAGTTAATATGAGTGTTTCCTAAGCTTCAGTCACTAACCTCAACATCCAGTTCCTGACAACTACCTTCATTCATTGTGCTCTATCTCTGTATTGTGATTCACTTGTTGCTTTTCCAATAAATCAGCTCACTTAAAAATATGTAAGTCCAGGCCTAATAAATAACCACCAAATCACAGGTTTGATTTGGGATCACATATTTTTCTAATGCTCTTTAAATGTATAATTATTAGAAAAGTGTATCCACCCACCATCCACAATTTTTTTGGTGTCTCCTCCATGGTGCACGGACTTCACTTTGGCAAGTGCTGGAGTATCATGGATACGCTAATAAATTTACAACTGTTTCTAATTGCCTGTTAAGTTGATGTGTTTGGCAGAAGTCAGTAGACATTCACTTTGTCGACAGTTTGTCCTAATTCTATCTCTTGTTCGCTTCATTCTTAAAGGTTTCACTAGTTTACGCATCCATTAATCAAACATTTATTAAGCACTTACTGTGCAGCAAAGGCACAATTGGTAATAAGTTTGATTTTCTTTAGAAACATAAAGGAAATTTTAAGAATTACTCTCATTCCTTCAGGATCAAACATTCAACACACGTTTGTGGGGTGTTGATGGTGTCAGGGCTACACAGCCATTCTTCAGTGACAGATATTTTTCTGGAACCATACCATATTTTGGAGAGACAGTGCCTCAGCGTGATGGTCTTCCTTGGGGAGCAGAGCAAAGGGAAGTGGGAACGGTAGACTAGAAGGCTGGATAGAATGAGGCAGGCACAGACGGGAACCTGGGGGACGGGGAGATTTGCTTCACGGAGGGGTTTGAGATGACTATGAGGTAGGACAGGGAAGGTAGTGGATTCTGAATGTGAAATTTCCCACCACCAGCCCCCCAGCCAGGGGCAGAAATACCTGCTTATAACGAACCATGGCATGACCTCTGAGACTCACAGGTAGTTCCCGCCTGGCACTACATGGGTGGGGTTTCCCAAACAAGCAAACCTCCTAATGGCCCTGCTGGTCTGGGCAGTGTGGACCCATCTCAGGGGCACAGATAAAGGATGGTGTTTGTTTTCAGTCTTCAGATGTGTCATTGCTTTGCTTTACACACCTGTTCTCCTCACTGCCTATTTTTTTTAACTTTATGCCTCCTGGAGAGGCAGTTTTGCTTAATAATTAGAAGCACAAAAAAAAAAAAAGAAGAAAGAAAAAAGGAAAGAATGCTCCAGTGTCACTGAAGCCAGCGATGCAATTGTCAGTATCCCATGGAACTCGTTAGAAATGCACATGCTCAGGTCTCATCCAGGTCCTAAAGAAGGAGGTTTCTGGGTAGGACTTAGCAATCAGTGCTTGAATAGGGGCTCTAGGTGATTCTGATGCCTGCTCAGGGTTGAGAACTACTGAATTAAGCAGTCTTCAGTTTTACACACACACACACACACACACACACACACACACACACACACACACACACCAAATTTTGGACTTCTGTAGACCTGGCTTTAAAATCTTATTTCACCACATCCTAGAACTCTGAGCGAATGGCTGAATCTCCCTCAGCTTTTGTGTCCACGTTTCTAAGGTGAGGATAAGCACAATTCTTCCCTGGTAACCGTGAGGATGAATCTCTTGGGACGGTGGCACCCCTCAGCATATCGCCATGGCGTGCTCCCTGCCCTCCTCCTGCCTCCAGCAGCTGCACCCTCGCAGCCTCCTTTCTCCCAGTGACCTCCTTGTCTGAGGCCTGAGGCTGGCCATCCTTCATCCCTGTCTCACCTTCCCTCCTCTCCCAGCCACAGGTTTTCTGTCTTCAGTATGTCAAGCTTGATCTCTCTTCTCTTTCAAAGAGTTCAAGAAAATGAGTTGATCTCTGATGGGTCCACATTATCTGGACAGATGTGAAGGAGGGTCACGTCCACAGCAATGGGGAAGAACATACCTTTGGTTACTACACATGTATCCTGCTGCCTGGCAGTACGGGAATTGGTGCTGTCTGCGGAATGCCCCAAGTGCTGGAAGAGACTCTGGCCAGTGCTTCCCATGCATGCTGCTTATTTTACTAAGTTAGCAATGAGCAGCTTGGGCTCTGTACCTCAGCAGCCAGCAGTGACTGTCACATAGCAGAAGCTCTGTAAATGCTCATGCTTACAGATGCACCAAGAGGGTTTGAAGCAGAATAGGAATTATGGGGAAGGTATTTGAATTCTAGTGAATATTTTCACGCTTATCACCTCGGAGAACATTTCCTTCGAAAGAAAAGGCATGTCAAATAGAGTAGGATGGGCATATATTTCTTCTTTTGAGAATCTGACATTGTAATGCATAAAGGACATCAAAGGGTACAAAGATCTAGAAAATAGGTCAGGGAGATGCAATGTACAGCCTGGATGGTGACTGTAGATAATGCTATATTGCACATTGGAAAGTTGCTGAGAGAATAGATCCTAATAGTCCTCATCACAAGAAAAATAATGCAATAATACATGGGGACAGATGTTAACTGGATCTATTGTGGTGATCTTTTGTAATACATACAAACATCGGATCATTATGTTGTACACCTGAAACTAATATAGTGCTACCTGTCGGTTATACCTCAGTTTTAAAAATTATTTTTAAAAAATTATTTTAAATTTTTATTTTAAAAATTATTTTTTTAAATTATTTTAAAAATTTATTTTAAAAATTATTTTAAAAAAGGAACTTGACATGGAGAGAAAAAAGTAGAGACCAGAGAGAAACTTCCTGGTATTTAAATTTAAATATAATAAGTAAATTGTACCTACTTTGCAACTTACTAAATTTATTACATCAGGTTTCAGCTTTTACTAACTTCCCCATGGACTTGTGTCCCAACATAAGTTGATGTTGATATCCTTGTATTTTCTCAAACCGTCCCTTCTTTCATGTCTACAAGTCTTTGCATATATGCCTCCCAGCCTAGAATGCTGCATGACCACCCATGGGACAAATACCTAATCATCTTCTACTGTCATCAAAGATTCAGCTCAAGTGAGTGTTGCCTCCTATTTTCCCCAAGGAGATTTAAACATTCCTTGCCCCCAGGCTCAATCTGCACCCTATAAACTTGTGATACTGTATTATAACTGAGTACCTGTGTGTCTTGTCTCAGTGGATGGCAGATACGTAGCGTGTACCTGCCATGTTGGCAGCTAGATACCCAGGACTCATTTACTGAATTTACAGTGGTAACTAAAGCTAACATTTCTTTAGCACTCCCATTTTCATAGAGTGGAGGATTTTGCCTCTGTCCCCTTCTCATCCTTCCTCAAGGGAGCAGAAGGGACTGACTTCTCTGGGAGAAAGTGAGAAGTCAGGGATGACTCTAGGATTTCTGGATTGAGCCACCAGAATCACAGAGGTCTCATAACAGGAGCTGGAAGAGTCTGAACAGATTTGAGGGGGACAAATGGGGAATTTAGTCTTGGATGGGTTCACTGCTTTATAAACTTTGACCTGCAGAGACCATTCACATTTTTAGCACATCCAGTTTCACTTGTAGGGGCATCCTTCAGAATCCTTAGGATGCAGTGGGACAACACGGTTAACAAGTGACAGGACAGTCATGGATAATGTTGAGACTCCCCTTAGAAGTCACATCCAGGCAACACGAGACCTTGGAGTCTCTGTGGTCATTTCTTTTTTCTTAAAATTATTACTTAAGTCTAGGGAATTATAGATAAGGAAAAGTTAGTCACATGTGCTGGGGAAAAAGAGGGAAGAGCAAGCAAAAAAAAGTGCAAACTCCCATTTCTGTTTACTTTGAAAGGGAGCTTTCTCAGAGGACTCTCCTGGTCGTCAAAGCATGTAGTTGGCTATAATTACGTTTGACTTATGTACCTCACCACAAAAGAAATAATATGTTCATACAGACTGTCTGATTTCACTCTGGATTCCTGTGTTTTTGTGTTTTGCTTTACTTTCCCGGTCTTCTCCAACTGTCCCTTCCCCTTAGCCCTGTGGCTTGGCATTGGCTGTGGAATCCGTGTCTCCTTTGCTTTGGTCTGCCCCGGGGTCATTTCGGTGGCTGCCACATAGGCTAGGGGTGTGGGTTATGGCTTCCTGCTGGCTGTAAGGAGGAAAACAGTTTAATGCTGAAAGCCTTTCTAACCATGGCTGGGTTTCAATGGTTACCTCTCATTTCTCCATCTTGATGTAGACTATCTTTTTCCACATTAAATTGTTCCCCTCAGGCCCAGGGTAACACATGGAGGAGCACAGAGATGATGAAGCTGATTCACCCTCTGGAAGGCTGCCTTATGCTTTCTACTAATGTCAGTGGCAGGTCCACTTCTATGGAAAACATTGACATATTGTGTCTTATGACTTATTTTGAGATTTGAAATGGTTTTGTGTGGCACACGTCTGGGGCCATGGGTGGGTGGTGTTTCCAAGGAGTGTACTGAATATTCTTCCATGCTCTGTTGGGGGTAAAGACTTTATGGTCTACAAGATCAGGCTCATGGCACATATCTCTGGTTTCCCTATGTTTCCTTTTCTTGGTTCCGTGGAAAACTTTTTTTGTGAAATAACCTCCAAGCACGTTCTTGCCATATTTTCTCACCGTGAAATCTACATGAACCGGAATGCTTAGGGAATTGGGTGCCTGGTTAATTGAATTTTCAGGGCTACACCAAGTGACCACAAAAGTTCATTTTGTTTCCTCCCTGGTTGTTAATATTTTCCCCCAAATTATATTCGTTCACACATTTATCCTAGTAAATAGAATGTGGCAAACAAAATGGAATCATTTTGACATTTCATGATTTTGACATCCTATTAATGACATAATTCTGAATAGCAACCTTAGCTGTTTGAGCTGGAAGGAATCTGGTCCAGTCCCCTTTCTTAAGAGATAGGTAACTGAGGCCCCAGAGAAGTTGAGAGCTTTCCAAGTCCCATTAATGGCAAAACCAGGTCCAGAGCAGTGGTCAAGGACTCTGGCTGGAATCAGGCCAGTTTGAGTCCTGCATTTGCCACTTACCAGCTGTGTGACTTGGCGGCATTGAAAGTGTCAATAACTTGCTCAGTCTCGTCATCTAAATTAGTTTATATGGGGAATTAGTTGAGTGTCCACCATTAAATGGTGTTAGTAACGGTATTAGTTTTCTTTCTATGGCTGCTCTAATAACTTTCCATGAACTTGGTGACTTAACACAAATTTATTTTCTTGCAGTTCTGGAGGTAGACATCTGGAATGAGTCTCACTGGGCTGAACTCAAATGTTGGCAGGGTTGTGTCCCTTCTGGATATTCCAGAAGGGAAGGCTTTTTTTTTCTTTGCCTTCTCCAGCTTCTAGAAGCCTCCAGCATTCCCAGTCTCATGGCCTCTGCCCCCATCTTCAAAGCAGCAACATCCTCCTTAATCCTCCTCACACTGCCCTCCCTCTGGCTCCCTTCCATCCCCCTCTGCCCTGTTGAAGACCCCTCATGATTATCTTGGACCCATCTGGAAAATGAAGAGTTTCCCCATCTCAGGGTCAATTGATTAGCAACCTTAATTACATCTGCAACTTTAATTCTCCTTTGCTATGTAAGTGCATGAAGTCACAGGTGCCAGTGATGTGGACGTGGTTGTTTTGGGTGGGACAGTGTTCTGCCTACCACAGTGTAGCATGAGAGTCCAACCACTTCATGGTCTAGTGTGAGAATTGTCGAAATACTTGAAAGTTACTATAAAGAGGAGGAAGGTGATGATGGTGATCACTGGCCCCGTTTATCCTTGAGAACCAACCTAGAGGCAAGAGCTGTGTTTAGCACAGTTTGCACAGGTAAGAAAACTGCACATCAGAGACTTCTATAATGTGTCTGTAGGGTGCAGAACCACCTGGAATTCTAGGGCAAGTATTGGAGTCACATGTGCTCAATTCCAGACTTGGCCTCTTCTGCTTCACTGGTGGCAGTGTTGCTGGTGGTTATTACAACCCAGGTCTCTTAGTTTCTATGAGAGAGAACTACCTCCCTGTCATTACTAAACATTACTAAACAAACACGTATGTAGGTAGCATAGAAACTTCCTGCTCATACATTTGCTAGAACGTGTTATTACTGGTTACCTTGCAGCTACCAACTTCACTTGCCTCTACTTCCTGGATAATGTCTCATTCCAGCTGCCTCAAAATATAATATTGTGTACGAAAGTTTTGGATATTTTCATTTTTATCGTATCAACACCCTTACTCGCTTCTTCTTACCTTTCAGGACATTTGCAAGTCACTTTGGTGCCATCGAGTGGGCCACAGGTGTGAGACCAAGTTTATGCCTGCAGCAGAAGGGACCGTTTGTGGCTTGAGTATGGTAAACTGCATACTTGTTAGTTTTTAGTGCTGGAAACATGACAATGCATAGAAACAAGCCGTTGTACAAACTATTTGAACTGAGACCTCAGAATGGAATGCCTTGGGCACATACATTTTCTGACTTGTCTTTAAATTAACCTGCATTATTTAGCAGCTATTATACAAAAACTCAATGTTAATATAAACCAATTGGCTCAATTGTTTAGAATTTTTTTCTGCCTTTGGTTTCTATTTTTAGATGAAATATTTCTATTTCAATAAGCTGGAAGGTTTCACTGTATACTGTTCACCTTTTAAACTTGATTCAGTATAGAAAAGCTTCAGGGAGCAAATGTCCCCTTTGGTAGCAAAGGAAGGACTGTCCTCCCATACAAAGCCCCTGCTGCTCACCTCACAGGACCTGTCACTGAGCCTCTGACGTGCTAGGGGAGTCCTGTCACTTAGAGGGACTCCTAGCAAAGGGTAAGCCACATCTCTGTCTAGGTTGTACCAGAAAGCCATTGGCCAGTCAACCCTAAGAACCAGCTCTGATATGGGAGGTTTCTGTGTTTTGAATGAAGAACATTCATATATTAGTTTCTGGGTACTTTTCTCCTTTCCTAGTAGCATCTGGAGGAAGAGGTGCACTTGAGGCAGCAATAAATGACCCAGATTGGGGACATTCCTTTGAGAGATCATGATCGAGGAGCTGTGAGAGAGGGGAGCATGGAGATGCTCCAGGTTCTTTGATCTCTGCTTTTGGCTCTCTCGAGGCGGCACGAGCCTGCATAGAAGCCTCGGTCATTTCAAATGAATTCAATTGCACAATAATTAATCAACTGCTGGGTATCAGAGACAAGAGGCTCTGGGGATATGAAGATGAATAAAATTCAGTTTTATCTCTTCAAGAACTCACAGTCCAGTGGGGAGACCTGTGCAGAAGCCAGTAACTCTGTCTTTCTTTGTAAACAGATCTTGAATCCCTCGTTTCTGTCAATGCTTGGAATTAGGTGTGCACTTAGGATGAAGTACAGGGATGCCTGGGTGGCTCAGTGGTTGAGCATCTGGCTTTGGCTCAGGGCATGATCCCAGGATCCTGGGATTGAGTCCCACATCGGGCTCCCCGCAGGGAGCCTGCTTCTCCCTCTTCCTATGTCTCTGCCTTTCTCTCTGTGTCTCTCATGAATAAATAAATATAATCTTTAAAAAATAAAAATAAAATAAAGCCCAGTGAGTGGGGACCCCAAGATGTATGTTCCTCAGCTAGGTGGGAGAGAGATTTTCAATGAGAGATTAATGACACAGGCAAAGATACAGGCCCACAAAAATTAGCAAGTGTCCAGAAAACACTTTCTAATATTTGTGGAGTCATTTATTCAACATGTTTTAAAAGATTTGCATTTTTAACTCTTTGATTCTAAAGAAAAAAAACATTTTTTAAAAATTGAGGTGTTAATGTGCAACTTTCCATCAGCGGTCTCTGTCTTAGCAAATTCCAATAAACTCTCTCTTTGAAAATGTGCATGGAATGTTTTAGGTGTGATGAAGCGAAAGAGTGAAATAATTAATTGAACATGTAAGTACTGCTCAAGGCATCTTATTTATTTTATTTTTAAAATTTTTAAAAAGATGTTATTGGTCTATTAGAGGGGGAGAGAAAGAGCACCAGGGTAGGGGGAGGGGCAGAAGGAAAGGGAGAAGCAGACTCCCCAGTGATCTGGGAGCCCAGAATAGCTTGATCTCAGGACCCTGAGCTGAAGGCAGACGCTCAACCCACTGAGCCACCCAGGTCCCCCATCATTTTTTATTTTTAAAACATCAAAATTCAGGACTTGCAACTCAAGGGTTAGTGACCATGGGGAAACCTGTGCAGAAGCCAGATCTTTTCATTATGAAAGCAGCAGCATTAAACGTAAGAGAGATGTACAAGAAAAGATTGCTCTAATAAGCAAGGAAAGTAAGTGCCAAATGGCATAGGGCTAACGTTTGTCTTACATTACATATGCCAGGGGGGTAGTTCCACGGGGATGAAAATGCCCCTGGATTAGACTTTAGTTACCGTAACCTGAGACAAATCAGGCCAGGAGTTAGAAAACAGATGTCCTAACGCCCCTCCTGCACCTCATTATTTTAAAAGACCAGACTGCAGTTCTAAATACTGGGGGAGCGCCCCTTGACCGAATGATAGAAGCCCCCCTGCTCAGCAGAAAGCCCTAAGAAGAGTGTCACCGATCATCACCCCAGTGTGATTGTTAGTGCCCCCATATGCACGGTTCTCCGACTCTTCCTCTGCTAGGGCATGGGACTGGCTCTCCCCTGGACTGGAAACGTTGTGAGGCCAGGGCCACGTCTCACGCTTTTATCTCGAGTCCTACAGAGCAGCAGCTACTCCATGTTTGTTCATTTGTCCCCTTGTAACTGGGCGCTCACTGAGTCCTTCCCGTCTGTCTCGTGGCCCTGGCCATTCGGTGATATTCGTGCCATGAATGCTCAGTAAACACATGAGGTTGTGAAAGCCACATAGTTTTATCGAGTTACACATGTGAGGAAAGAAAGGCTTGTGCTCGCTCTCTGTTGTAAAAGCTGTCTGCCTGGTTACAGCCATTCAATTTGAAATGAGCAGTACATATCTACATATATATATATATGAATAGATCCAGCTTTATATGCAGAATTTTATTAATGTGGATTATGCATGTGTGTATTCACATATATGTGTGTATATAGGATCTGTATATTATGAACGAGGTCTACATGACTTAGCATAACTGCACACTTTCCTAAAAGCCTCTGCAATTAGAGCCAAAGAGGGATGTATGTGTGTATGTGTGTGTATTCACGTATTTATTTCTGATTTCTCTACTGAATGAAAAAGCCAGAGGAGACCATCTGTTAGCAACCTAAGCCAATACTAGGATGAATCCTGAAAGAAAAGAAAGTTAAATTAATTGAAGGTTGGAAACAGATTTAAAAACCTTATTTCTAAAAAAAAAAAAAAAAAAAAAAAAAAAAGGAAAAGAAAAGAAAGAAGAGATAGAAAAGAAAAGAAAAAGAAAGAAAGAAGGAAATTAGGTTTAAGATATATCAGTGGGCCATTTGCCTGTGAGGCGAGAAGTTTACGTATCCTGTTCAGAAGCTTTGGTTACTGAGTTTAAATCGAGCCCCAGCTAGTTGTGCGGCTGCTTGGGTAGCTGTGTTAGTATTTCTTTGCTAAATTTCTCATCCAGAAAATAGTTATTAACTCCTTAGCGCTTTGGGAGGATTATGTTAGAAAGTGCATGGGAGGCCCTCCCTCTCTCCCTGCCTGCACCATTTCTGGCACCTGGAGGCGACTTCATAAAGCGTAGCCTCTGTTGGTGTTGGCTGTTGTTATTTTGTCTCCGCCACTGAGCTCAGCCGGGAGAGTCCTGGGGATTCCTGGTCCGGAAGATTCGGATTCCTGCTCGTGGTGGACAAAACCCTTTAACGACCAACTGCTTTCCCCCTAAAAGTGCTCAACGGTGTTCTATGAGTTCATGCAAACTCTGAGACGCCAATTAAGCCGGGGAAAAGAGAAATGAAAAACACAGGGAGGAATCGGTGCACGGCAAGACCTGGAAGAGAGGAAGCAATGCCTTGACCTGGGCAAAGCGCACCAGAAACAAGAAACAGCCAAGGAGCCTAATGTATCACAGGGGAAAGGCGAAGGCTTGGAAGTCCAACATCCTCCCCCGATTCCGTAACCGAAGCCCCACTCCTCGGCAGAACCTGGCAGGGTCCAAAGCCCAGCCCGTTGGATCCCACTGCAGAGGCTCTTAGGAGAGTGTGCAGTTACACCAGGTCATGCAGAACTCGCTCCTAATAAAGCACCGCAGGAATAAAACCACTGGCGGGGCGAAGGCGAGCCCCAGGGACAGAGACGGCCGCGGAGCCTGGAACGTATCGCAAAGGAAACAAACGGAGGTTGGCGCAGCCCCGGCTTGGTGGGCGCCTTGGCAGAGGAAAGGCCCGGGCTCGTTCACAGGAGCTCGGAGGGCTCCAGGTCACCAGAGGCCTGGGGTTAGGAACCTTTCCTGCAGACCAGAGGTCAAAGGGCGCTGTCTGCAAGCACAGTTCTCGGGCGGGAGCTGTTGGGTTTGGCGAGAAGCGCTCCGCAGGGGCGGTTGGGACGAGCAGGAGTGTCCGCACGACTGCAGCGGGTTTAGGAGGAGGTCGTCAGCCTGACGACTTCTGTGTCCGGACCTGGTACCTCGTGAGACAGCTGGTCCTCCTGAAGCGAACGAGCCACCCAGGCTGTCCTTGAAGCGGCTTCGCTCGTGGGGCTCGGGGAGGCTCAGGTGCCGGCGGCCCGCCCGGGCGCCCTGGGCGTGGGGTGGAATGTTCTCTGAACCTTTGGCCTCGCGAAGCGCGTGAGCCGTGCCTGTGGGTGACACACGGCCCTTCCCTGGGTGCCAGCTCTTCGCCCCGCTCGCAGTAAACGCGGGGGGCCGGGGCCGGGAGGCGCAGCGGGCGGGGGGTCACGAGGGGTCACGGCCCCCCCATTTGGCCACATGCCTGTGTTTGCTGTCAATGGGCAGGTGTCTGCATCTCCTCGCCTTCCCCGGGTGGACTCTGACGGGAAACATGTCGCACGTTCTTTCCACAGTGGTGTCGGCAAGGCCAGTGTGTGAAGTTCGGGGAGCTCGGCCCCCGGCCCGTCCACGGCCAGTGGTCCGCCTGGGCCAAGTGGTCCGAGTGTTCGCGGACGTGCGGCGGCGGCGTCAGGTTCCAGGAGAGACACTGCAATAACCCCAAGTAAGGCCCCGCCACCCAGTCAGTATGCGGAGGCGACCGTTTCGATTTGCTTACCTACTGCTTTTAACTGCAGTTTCTTTCCCTCCAGAAAGGAACCTGGGCTTTACTGTTTGCTATGAAGGCTGCATGCCCGGGGGTGGGGGGGTGGGGGGGTGGGGGGGTGCAGGGGTTTGGTGGTCAGAAACCTAAAAGCCACAAAGGAGTTAGTTGCTCTGAGTGGGAGTACGGTGATCGGGGACTCCAGGGCTAGTCTGAGCTGCTTTCTCAGCCTCAACTAGAGCCACCAGCCACACAATCAGATGCCTGTGTTGTAGAGCAGAGGAGCTAGGCCAGTGGAATGTGTGTGTGTGTGTGTGTGTGCGTGTGTGTGTCAAACTGATGAACTGGAGAAAGTATGCTAATTTTTGCCTTGCAGGAATGTACATCAACACGTGTTGACAGATCTGCCTGACTTTTCAAGAGAAACCAGAAATCCAAAAAAACATGTGGGAAATTTCCCAACGGTTAAGACATTGACCGCAAATTCAATTTTCTTTGAACAGAACACAGTGAGGACTAATGACAATGTCTGCAGATTCAGATTGGCCTGTGGTCACCTGCAGGCACCCTCTGGCCCGGGGTAGCCCGGGATTCTGAACCGCCGTCTGTGTTCTTTGAAAACGAAGATGGTTTTATGTTCCTTTTATCTGCTCTAATTCCCACGTGCAACATGCATGAGATGTACACTTCCTGACTGGCACAGTGATGGAGAGAGAGGCCGGGTTAGAGAGAGAGAGAGAGAGATTGAACTACAAAATCCTGGGTCTGCTGCCTATTAGCTGTGTGACTTTGGGAAGTTCACTTGAACTCTGAATTTGGTTTATGTGTGTAACAGAGATAATAATGTCTCCTGTAGATTTGGGGGGATTAGAAGTGGGAGAAGAGAGAGAGAGAGGCCTTACTGATGAAGCTGGACTTTGGAGAATGTGGTAGAGAAGAATGAGATGGGTCCTTGGAAAATAGGGATTTCACTTTACAGCACTGCTTGAGTGGTGGCATGATGTGAGGGTCAAGAACATAGGCTCCCAATCCTGGAACCCCAGGTGTGCCTCCTGGCCCTGGCTCTCTCCAGCTATGTGGCCACAGACAACTTTCTCTCCCTTCCCTAGATGCCTCAGTGGTAAAAATGGGATGAGAAGAGTGCCCGTGTCAACTGAGTTAATATTTACAAAGCGCCTGGCGTGTTATAAGCATCCCATAAATGTTTGGTAGGTTGTGAATTAAAATAAATAACGAAACTGGAGCAGATGGAAAATTTTAAAAAGACATGGCATTTCATCCGAGTCAGCAGCCTGAGCTGGATCAAGGGGCCAGTTTGTTCCAAAATAGAAGAGGGTCAGAAGATACTTTGACCATGGTTTTCCTAGATGCTCTTTGGGATATCAGGCTAATTGTATTTTTAATTGTATTTTTCAACTTTGGCACTATTGACATTTGAGACTGGAAATTTTTATTATGGGGTTTTCACAGTACATGGCAGGATGTTTAGCAGCAGCCCTGGCCTCTCCCCACTAGATGCCAGTAGGATGACGCTCTCTCCCTGACAGCCATGTGATAGATAACCAGAAATGTCCCCTGGGACTATCAAATGTCCTGTAGAGGGTAAAGCCATCCCCAGTTGAAACTCATTGGTTTATTCAGATCCTATAACTAGGTGTGATGGTAGACAAGCTTGTGATGCATTTCCAGCTTATACCAGATTATTAAAACCACCCTCCTCATTCTTTGCATGTAGCCCATATCTTGGATAGAATTCTTAAAATCATTATATTACTTTTCATTTTTTCAGCCTATTTTGTGGGTCTGGTTTTCATACATCACAACATTTTACAGCTCAGTATTTTCCCAAGAAAGAAATAGATTACCTAATTTAATAGCTCTGCTGGTAAAGTGTGTGAATGACACCCCTGAGATTTAAATTAAAACCTCTCATATCTGTGGGATTGAGAACTCTCATTATAATAGGGCATTGTTCATGGAAATATCATATTGTAATTTTAGAAATGCCTAATAAAAGAATCACTAATGTAGTTCCATTTGGTGCTGTTTTATCATTTTCAACAAGATTAAGGCTCCTCGGGATACTGTTTAATTATGCATCACAAATAAAACAAGTACATGAGCAGCTGTCCTAAGGCAATTGAATTAGTTGTTCTCTGTTCTTATTTCACTTTGTTGTAGTAAAACTGGTCCGTCCCCCCCCCCCCCCCGCTCCATTTTAAATTACTGATTCCTTTTTATGCTTCAGTTTAAACATCGGGTCTGTTCACATCACTCCACCTAACCAGTTTCATTTTCTCATGTGAGAAGCAGTAGGAGCTTTGATTTCACATAATGATGATTTTCCCAGAACATATTTTGTTTCATAAAAATGAACTATTACTGGCTATTTGTAGACTCCTCCAACTTTTCAGCTTCAAAAGTGTTTAAAGGTTATCTGGTTCTGGAATAACCGGTACCACACACATGTGGCCCTTATTTTTCCCCATGTCTAGGGTGGACATTTTTGTTTATTTTTAGTGAAAGCATGCGTGCAAGTGGGGGTGGGGGCAGGTGGAGAGGGAGAGAATCTCAAGCAGGCTCTGTGCTCAGCATGGAGCCCAGTGCGGGGCCTGATCTCACAACCCTGAGGTCATGACCTGAACCGAAACCAAGAGTTGGACACTTTACCAACTGAGCCAACCAGGCGTCCTTGAGGTACAGATTTTTTAATGGATTAGAAGCTCTGTTTTCTACTGAGCTGTACTGTGCTTCAGGAACCTCATAACATTTTCCCAGGCCTTTGCTCCCAATCTACCTAGAACAGATGCATGAGTTGCAACCTGTTATTTAATCCAGTTACTTGACAAATGAGTAACCAGGGGAGGCGGAGGGTCCCAGAGTGGCAATCTTTGCCCGGGTCACCAAGCTGGTAGTAGTAGAGTCAGACCAAGAGCCCACAGTTTTAATCCTCTGACATTCTTTCCGGTTCCCTGGCTATTCAATTATTACACTCTAAAAGAGCCTAGTGTAATTTCTGTAAAGTCTGTTCAAAAAAATTAATCGCAAAAATTGAAGCAGCGAATATCAAACATGCAAAGGCATTCTAGAACTTTCCTAAAATGCAGGTCAATTTGAGAAGAAAATAATATGCCACTAGAGTCATAGCTCTGGAATGATAATTGAATCAAATCTCTGGCCCATTCTTCCACCAGTAATTTCCAGGCTCAGTTGATTATCAAAATCACCAAGGTTTCTTTAAAAAAAAAAAACACTGATTTTTCTCTGTCTTCCTGTCATATATTCATATTGCGAAAGTCTGGAGGGACCCAGGAGTGAGTGATCTGTCTGTGTGGGTGTGTATCTTTTTTTTAACAGAGCTCCTCCACTGATTCTATTGATTAGTCAGCCAATAGTATAACTATTTGTAGCCAGGACATGATAAATTTTGCAGAAGTAAAAATGAACATACTTTATAATGGCCTAATAGAAGGACAAAATCATGTTCCCAGACATTTGTTTTCTGACTGTTCATATTTTGGTTTTTAATCTTATTACACCAAGTAATATCATGGTAGGATTTTCTGTTAGTTTATCCTAACACTCCTGTTTTCAGCTGCAGAAAAATGTACCTGCATTGGAGCATTTGATGAAAAAGTACAAATTCTTGCCAGTTGTTAAAGCAGAAAACATTTTAAAATAGTTATGATTGATTTGTGCTAACTCTGCCCTAGACTCAGCCCTAAATTCTTTTTTTTAACATTGTATCCCATTTATTTTTACAACCTTTTTTACCATTTTATTTAAACTTTTTCATGATGGTAAGTGTAGTCTTTAATCCCCACCCTCTATTTCCCCAACCTCCCAAACACCTCCCCTCTGGTGACCATCAGTTTGTTCTCTAGAGTTAAGAGTCTTTCTTGGTTTGTCTCTCTCTCTTTCCCCCTATGATCATTTGTTTTGTTTCTTAAATTCCACATGTGAGTGAGATCACACGGTATTTTTTTTCTCTGACTTACTCCTTTCGCTTAGCATAATACTCTAGCTCCATCCATGTCGTTGCAAATGGCAAGATTTCATTCTTTTTTATGGCCGAGTAATATTCTATGGTGTATACATACCACCTCTTCTTTACCCATTTATCTACCTGGCAACTTGGGCTGCTTCCGTACTTTATCAGCCCTAAATTTTTTTATAACACTTATCTCAGTTAACCATCCCACCTGCCCCCATTTTACAGATCAGGAGGTGGAATGAAATTGCCTAAAGATAAGCTGGGAAGAGGCAGAGAATATTTAAATCTAGATCCGCCTCATTATAAAAGACCAACTCCCTAACCGTTGTGCATGACTGTCTTCTCTTCAGCGCCCGGCCCCTGCTCCCTAACTCATCTAAATGCAGGCAGAGTGAGTAGGGTAGGGATCCTGGGGGAGTCAAAGGCGGGGGGCTTAGCTGTGCACTGTCTCTTGCTGGCTCTATGATCTTCATTCGGCAAATTTCATGAGCCTCCTTCATTTCATTCACCTCATCTACAAACTGAAGGGGTGCTATTGAAGTTTCAAGATCTTTTCCATGTTATGGTTTCTGAGTTGAAGAAGTAACATGTGGTCCTTGCTTTATTGAATCTGAGTTGTCTAAATGAAGGTTATTTGTAAACTCTCAGATGGAATGTCTTAAACTAAGAAAGTTTTAACTATGCCTTGTGAAGATGACCAGGAATAGTAAGGCTATCAGACGGCACTTTAAGGTTTTTCTAAGTGCTTTTAAGATAATGATTTAAGAAGTCTTCAGGGATTTGATCTCGCACAATGGCTGCTGAATGTTTAAGTAGTTGCTCCAAAGTGTTTTGAAATAGCAAAAAAATCTCTTTCTGGCAGCATGACACTTCCCGTTTCTGTTGAATCCATCTTAGCATGCAGTTGCACGAGGATTTGATAAAATATGCTGAAGCAAATCCAGGGGTGTTTTATAGCATTCTTGTGCTTCCTAAAGAGACAAGGAATTTTAATCACATAAATTTATTAACCTTGAGCGTTCTTTCATGTTACATGTTTGCATTGAGCTTTTGTATGAGATGATCCATAGTTGGGTTTTAACCTTTGGAGAAAAATACAAAAAAGTGGGAATGAGAAAGAAAACAATTGCTCTGTGCCTGGAAGAAGCCGGATAAGCTGTTATTGGTAATTTTCAGTTTGGTTTATGCTCCTTTTTTTTTCTTATATTGCTTTCTGGTTTTTGCAGTCTACCTACCAAGAGCTTAAAGAGCCTGCCATTAGATCATAATTATTTATGTTCTAATGGGATTCCCTACTCTGGAAATCCATTTCCCATTGTGCTTGGCAGGAGAGGAATAGGCCACCTACAACGTTAAAGAGTGATTATGCAGATGAAAACAGGGGAATTTTTGTTCACAGTTTAGGATCAACTAGAATAAAACATACACTAGTCGGACAATAATCAGAACATCAGCTCAGTGACTGACACAGCTGAGTTGGAGAACATGGCGAATGGGGCTTTCTGCCCTTTCTTTTCAGTGTCCTGATCTTCTCCACAGCATCAGGTGGGTAGCCTGCTGTAGGAAGCTGGGTGTGTTTAGAAATGGGGGGAAAGCTGGGGAATGGGTTGGATCCACATTTGAAGAGCTTTGATGCCAGTGTGAGTGTGTGTGTGCGTGGGGGGGTGTTCATGTGTGTAGCACACAGACACACATGTGCTTTAGAACATTTAGGTGCATTTACCAATTTCCCTAATACAGGGATGAGGGCCAAGAATATGGTTTCATCATTCTTTAAAGAAATTGCCAGAATATAAAACTGGGATTAGAGATGACAAGTAAGTTTTACCTAATATGGCATTTCCAGTTGCTGAGCAGTGGTAGTGCCTACCCAAGGACTATGTTGAGAAAAGAAAGAAAGAACAAGCCCCTGGTTGATGGGTCATGCCTGCCATGGATACAAGGAGGGATGTGGCATGTTGTATACCACATTATTTCCATTTTGTGATAGACTGTATACACTGCATACTTTGTGACAATATTCATCTTGATTGTTGCTCCTCGTATTACTGCTTGTCACTAATCATGAGCCCTTTGTTTGCTGGCACTAAAGTTCTTTAATTTTATTTTCAGGCCTCAATATGGTGGCAAGTTCTGTCCAGGTTCTAGCCGTATATATCAGCTGTGCAATGTTAACCCTTGTAATGAAAATAGCTTGGATTTCCGAGCCCAGCAGTGTGCAGAATATAACAGCAAACCTTTCCGTGGATGGTTCTACCAGTGGAAGCCCTATACAAAAGTGGAAGGTAATTTGGTCTCTATAAGCCTCCAACAAATATGAGTCTATGTGCCCAGTAATGGGAACAAACACACAGGAGAAAATGCTGCCTACATAAAAGAATTTAGATGTTGACGTCATCCCCTAGACCTGTCCTGCCCCAGTTTTTCATTCACATCCATAGATTTTGTTTACTTTTCCATACTTTTTTTGTCCACAAGACACCCCTTGCCCCCCACATCTGTAAGCCAAAGGGTTCATGTGTTTGGAATGTACTTATGTTTCCAAACTTACCTTTGACATTTCAGCAATTAAGTCTCCCAGGGATGTTAATTGAAATTGGTATGCATTGTCCAGACCAAGAACTCGTGAAACCATATATGCCCCATAGAGACGCCATATTCAGCAATTGACATGTTAGATGATTGCGCACATGGGAAGGTCTATTTGCAGGGTATTACACACACACACACACACACACACACACACACAGCCATGTGTTTCAAAATGTCTCTATACTGGCTTCTTAGTACTTACTATTACTTAAAGTTATAGCTTGTATTTTACTTTTTAAATTGAATTGTGACCTTACTGAAGTCTCAAAACATTTCTTTTACTTACAATGTACAAATTTAATTCACTTTCTATTACCTCCTCAGACTAAGCTGTCACTGGTGGGGTTGTTTGCCTTCTATTATTTCCATTCCCTTGCTTAATCAAAACACAGCCATCCTCCCTTGGGAAAGGGTAGCTCTGAACCCCAAGGGCACACATAGAATGGGAAGACACTGAATTTAGTGACAGTTCATGGAAATAAGACTGAGGGGCTGTAGCTGTGCAAAAGCTCCAAATGAACCTGTGTTATCAGTTACCATAGAGAAGTTACCAGAGTTAGAGACAACACACAACAAGTAACAAGGGAAATGATAGTGCTGCTTTGCTCAGTCATTCATTGCAGGAGCACTGTATGGCTCTGGGTCATGGCTTGTCCAAAAGCACAGAGGGAGACAGGCATAGAAATTCTGCAATCTATGTCTTAGGAAGAAGCAATGAGCAATCAATCTGTAAATGTCTACTTATATGTGTTTCTTTTTTTACATAGAAACTCAGCACTTTATTGTTATTTGCAGTGTTTCAAACTGCACTAAGAGGTAATATATATGATGTTTACTAATGAATTTTTAACAGTTTTTAAAAGTAATACACAATGGTACACTTCTTTCTTGCTTTATGGAACAAATGTGTTCTTGCAAAGACAACTTGTCTAAGGACCACTTCATTTTCTTTTGGACTTCAGTGATAAAGCTGCGAATATATTCATTAAAAAAAATTCTTCAGTAGAATCATTTGGAAACTTACCAAGGAAAAGAGAAACCAGTTATCTACAAAAATTCAGCGATAGTAACTAGAAAAGGATTTAGATTTATTTGAAATCACTTCAGAAGACAGGATTAATTCAAGGGCTATGAACTTCCTAGCCATAGAACCTCCTCAGGGAGGCCTCCCTTGCCAGCCTGCCCAGAATATCCTTCCTTCATGTCATGCTCTGAATCCTTAACCTGCTTCATTCTTCAGAGCTCTTATCCACGCATGACTTTATATCATATAGTCACCTATTCATTATCTTTCTCCCCCTAAGGATTTATGTTCCATGGGATGAAGCCTTTGTCCATGTTGAGCATGCTTGGACCTCCAGCATCTGAGAACAGCACTTGACACATATTTATAATTTTCAGACTGAATGGGTGAATAAGTATCAACTGTCCGTAATGGACTTTTATGAGTCGTCCGCTCCCCATCACTGGAAGCATTCTATGAGGAACTGAGCAGTTATCTAGGAAGGGCACTGCACAGCAGGTTCCCATGGACAATTAGAATACCTGCAGGTGCTTTCAAGTCCAGCATTTGAAGATTTATTTTCTCTTGGTCGAATACTCCCGTAATCCCATGTTTCTTATGCATGGCTCTTTCCCCCAGATCCTATCATCCTTCCTTTTTCACTTCCCCTTCTGTCCTTGGCTTTGTCTTCTTGGATATTCCTTGGTCTTTCTCAGATTACAGATTTCATTCAAATACAGTGTTTACGGAATATGTTTTGTTATCACCCTTAAAATAGGTTCTGTGTGGAGTACCTAAGGAGAAAGTGAAGCAGATAAATACTGTAACTGGTAAAATGTCTTTTGGTTTCACAAGTTTTTCACTAATTTAACTGCAGACTTACTAAGTAGAGAGCATGCCACTTTATTGATTAGCTCAATAGGTGTTTATTGAGCATTTAGTGCGTGGGAGCCATTCTGCTAGATATGGAGGGAGCTACATTGAGTAAATCAGAGACCCGGCCTGGGGAGCTCAGGTCCTAGCACAAGAGATAGAGAGATTAAGGCCTTTTATCTCTCCCTCTTCTCCTGATATGTACCTGGAATCAGCAAATACAGACCTTCATGATTTTAAGGTCTTATGACCTTCATGCAGTTTGAGATGAACAAGGGAAGACTCTTGTATAAATGTAGAGAGTCTTTATCTTTCTTACAGCAGTGAGATTTTTTTTTTCCCTTCTGTGTTTCCAACAGACTAGTTGAGAAACTTGCTCAGGAGCCTGTGTGGGTAAAACTGAACTTTTTAGAACTTGTTAATTCCCAGGTGTGATGGAGAAAAGAAAGGGTATAGCTATGTCTTCCATAATCTACTATGCAAAAATTAGGAGGTGTTAGAAAAGCTGTGAAAAGAAATTTCTAGGCAAAAGAGAAACTTTCAATCCATTGACACGTCTGCATATTGGGATTGTAATAATCTAACTTCTTTCACATTTAACTTTTGACTTTGTCTTCTATCGAGAGGTTTCATGAAGCACAGCAATTTGCAAACTGTTTACACGTTTGTTGTACAACTGTTGTCAGGGCTTTTGCACGGTGTCGCCCACGCATGGTCTCCCATGAGAAATGTCATCTGGAGCTGCTGGCCAAGAAGAATGCTCTGTATTTGGGAAATTGGCATAACTCCTTTCTGATAACAAGAGCTCTATAGAAATGCAGTATTTTTTTCCTTTTGCCTATGATACCCGAAACTTCTCAGGGACTTTATGGTCAATAAGTTACATTTTTTTAGCCTTTAGCTTTATTTTTTTTTCTCTTCCTTTTCATGACATGAGTATTCTCTGTATGTTTTATAAACATGAGCCATATGCCCCCCTTTCTTCTCCAAAGTGCCTAGAATTTTTTTCTCTTAACTGCAAAAATATCTAAAGTGATCCATGTCTTAAATCGTTGTCACCAATCTATGGCCTTGGTGCCAAATCTGACCAGTTTTTTGTTTGTTTTTGTAAAGTTTTATTGGAACACAGAAGCACTCCTTCATCTATATATTGTCAATAGTAGGCCATAAGTCCTGTAAAGCCTAAAATATTTGCTAACCAAGGAGAGTAGCTATATAACCCACCAATCTTATGTATTGAGGCTATTACTGAGGATTAGAAAAATAAAATTTTTGCATGTTAAAACAGTTTTATATGAATTGCAAATGCGATTCCTATTTTTAAAAGCACATATATATGCATTCATGCATGCACACCCACATGCAAAACTGCAACATTTCCCATTTTAGACATGACAGCTTTCTAAATAAATTTAGTTCATCCTTTTGGCCATTGTGTCATTTTCCTGTTATTTCCTCCTGATCACATGCTATCTTGATCTCTTTGCTTCTAGAGGCAGATCGATGTAAACTGTACTGCAAGGCTGAGAACTTTGAATTTTTTTTTGCAATGTCCGGCAAAGTGAAAGACGGAACTCCTTGCTCCCCAAACAAACACGATGTTTGTATTGATGGGATATGTGAAGTAAGAAAACATTTCTGCTTTGGGATGTGTGGTCACACTCGGGTTTCCTCAGGTCAAATGTGTACCATGAGAAATGGTACGAGAGATTCTGTGTCTGGAGAAAAGGCGGTGTAGGGGAAAAGGCCAATGTTTGCAAATTGCATGTGCACACTGTCCACCGTCCCCCCTGACTTTCTGCAAGGCCCTGTCTGATAGTCTTAGTTCCTCTTCACCCATCTCCACACGTATGCAATGGAGAGGATGATGTCTCTACTATGTGCACTAGTTGCGAAAATCAAATAAGAATGTGAAGAGTAGTGGTAAACTTCTGCTGCATGTTTGCTAAGGATGTTCACTATGTGGTCATAGCCTCACAGTTGTGTTTTGAAATAGTCCTATTTACTGCCAATTAATATTCCTTTTAATTCCATTGTGAGCTCTCATAGGGGGCAGGGGGCATCGGAGGCTCCCCATTTTTTATATTTCAGCCGTAGAGCTGGCCCAAATAAGCTCACCTGCCATTAGTAGAAGCAGTTTTCCAGACAAAGGCAGCAAGCTTTAGACGAGGTCTGTAACTTCCCTAGTCTTGCATCTGCTAAAGGCAGAGCAGGGATTTGAACCCTGAGTCAAACTTGAGACTCTGCTTTTAACTCTAGCGCTGTACTATCTTCCTAATGTTCTGAAGACTAAAACCCAGTTAGGTATTCTTTGCCACTGGCTTTTCTGATCTTTTTCACTTTATTATTTTTCTGAATTTTTGTCACAGCCAGTGGGATGTGATCATGAACTTGGCTCTAAAGCAGCTTTGGATGCGTGTGGTGTTTGCCAAGGGGACAATTCGACTTGCAAGTTTTATAAAGGCCTGTACCTGAACCAGCATAAAGCAAATGGTAAGAAATGCCTGCCCTTTCATTGCTCTGGCTTTGCTGCTGAGCGATTTTGAGTCAGTCAAGCTGGAGATGGCCGAGTGGGTTTCCAGGCTCACCTGACACACACAGGACGGTGGCTTTGTCACCTCGCAAGAACAAGGAAGGCTGGGCGATTTCTCAGTGTGACGAGTTCTGTCAACACCTACCACTCTGAGACGTGTCACACAAATGCCTTTCTACTTCACGGTTTGTCCCGTATCCCACACACCTTCATTAAACGAAGAACTGGTTTTGAAATCCACAGTTTAGGACATGAATCACAGTTCATGCTCACAGTGTTAGGTGAATATCCGAAGCAAGTATCTAGAAGAATCCTGAGTAAAAGGAAGCCTGGAGCCGTTTCATGACTATCACCATGGAGGTCTATGGTGCTGAGTTTCCTCCAAGTAGATTAAAGATAAAGAGCGTTCTTGAGTAGCGTGGCCTTGATTGTCCTGGGAAGGAGAAGAGTGTATCTCCTCTACACAGGCACACACACGTGCTTGGGAAAGGAACACACCCTTTCTCTCTGGTGTTCCTTCCACTGGGAACATGAAACAATTGATCATTTGCACTTCATAGAGTAGGAATTAATGTCCATTGGTTATTCAACAACCCCCCACCCCCCAATAAACATGGACATCACCATGTCTCTGAGTCCTCAGTGCCGTTTTGCAGTGTACAACATGGTAAACAGCACCCTTCTCTCCTTCCTGTTTAGAATATTATCCAGTAGTCACCGTTCCAGCGGGGGCCCGAAGCATCGAGATCCAGGAGCTACAGCTCTCTTCCAGTTACCTTGCAGTCAGAACTCTGGGGCAGAAGTATTACCTCACAGGGGGCTGGAGCATCGACTGGCCTGGGGAGTTCCCTTTTGCTGGGACCGTGTTTGAATACCAGCGGGCCTTCAACCACCCCGAACGCCTGTATGCACCAGGACCCACCAATGAGACACTGGTCTTTGAGGTGAGCCCCTTCCATTTGTTGAGTGCTTGCTACATCTTGCTGTGTTTATAGCAATGGCCCCACTTTGAGCTAGCTTGAAGAACGCCTATCCTCTGATTCATCTTTGTCTCCTAATAAGCAAAATTGCAAAGTGCAAAGAGGAAGAGACAACATCTCCATTTGGGAGAAGAGGGCAGGAGTCCACTGAGTCTCCAAGAGAATGCCCTGATCTTTACATTTGGATGCCAGCCTCTCAGCATGGCACCTGACTGCCATGACACTACGGGATGGAGTAGGACTGCTTTTTAGATAATTCCATATAGTCTGCATCTGCTGTTGGGCTGGTCCACAGTGGCTCTTCACCACGTGGGTCACCTGGCCCAGGACATCGACTGATAAAGTAGAAAGAACACTTGCCTGAATGCCAAGAAAGTTTTAATCAGAGCAATCCACCTTACTTGTGCAGGTTGTTGTTTCTTTTGAAATGAGAAAAATGAACAGATAATAACCAGCCAGCGTATCTGCAGATGACTCTGCCAAACTATTATCATGCGTTCATTTTCCTTGTTTGTAAAGTGGGGCCGATGTCTGCTTGTAGAGGTGGTTGATTTGCTTCAGGCTGCGTAGAAGCCACGCTGGCTACAACTTGCAGAGGGCTGAGATTACCAGACACTCAAGGCGGTCTTCCTGAATTTCAGTTTCTCACCTACAGAATTGGGATAGAAAGCCTACCTCACTGGCTTGCCAGAAAAATAAGCAGTGAAATGGAGAGAAGGGTTCAGAGGCTGGCCTAACTCACAGCTGGGGGAAAAGCAGAACTTTTCTCTGAACAGGACTCTGGATGTTTTCCATCTACAAGTGTTTAAGGCAGCCTGGTTGGGGAGGGGCAGAGGAAGAGAGACAATCCCAAGCAGACTCCTCGCTCAGGGTGCAGCCTGATGTGGGGCTTGATCCCATGACCCTGAGATCATGACCTGAGCTGAAATCAAGAGTCAGACACTTAACCCACTGAGCCACCCAGGCACCTCTCCATCCATAAGTAGGATGTCTATACTTAGTGCATGCTGCTCTCTTCTCAAATAAAGGAAACATTAGCTTAATTTAACTATTATTATTTAAGGCACTGCCTTTAAACATTTACTAAGAAAGATGAGTAGAAGAACATTGGGGAAAAAATGGTCACATGTCACTTTGGATTCTAAGTCAGACGTTGTCCACCTTGGATGAATAAGATGACAGATTCCTAACAAAGCAACTTGAACAAGCTATCGGGTTAAGTTCCTTAACATCCATGTCCCTTAATGTCCACATTTGTAAAATGGGTGGACGGCACCAGCTAAGTGTTCAGGTTATCCTAGGGAGAATTTAAGGCAAGTTCAATGCTTGCAAAGTACTCGGCACCTAACGTGTAACCATTCTCATCACTTTGCCTTCTGAACTTGCCCCGTATATATATTTTAAAACCTTGGCAAAGGGCACTTGGGTGGCTCAGTGGATTATGCATCTGACTCTTGATCTCAGCTCAGATCTTGGTCTCGGGGTCATAAGTTCAAGCCCCACATTGGGCTCCATGTGGGGCATGTGGAGCCTACTTAAACAAAAATAGAGATTTGGACATTTCCTAAGAGCAGGGAACTTCTGGCCCCAGTAGACATCTCAGTTTGCAACCTTAGTTCTAGATGGTGATCATGGTTTAAATTCATTTACATTCCTATTGTCTCGTCACTTGAGGTATTAGGTCCCATCACCTCTGTCTGTCTGGTGGGAGGTCATTCAGATATCTCACGTCACTTACTCAGAGAGAAAAGCTGTAGGTAGGAAAGATTCTCCCAACTGTCTCAACTCTTTCATTTCAGAGATGAGAGCAGGGACTCCAAATCGAATTGGACTAAAGAAGCGCCTGGGGGCTCAGTCAGTTAAGTGTCTGCTTTTGGCTCAGGTCATGATTCCAGGGTCCTGGGATCGAGCCCTGAGCTGGGCTCCCTGCTCAGCAGGGAGTTTGCTTCTCCCTCTCCCCCACCCCTCTGCTCATTCTCTCTCTCTCCCTCTCAAATACATAAAAGCATTAAAAGAGAGCAACTGGACTAAGGGTGATTGGGAGCTCCATGGATCCAGCCCCTGAAATTACTTCATTAAACCTAACGCACAGGAATGGAATTCTGATTCAAGATTTCTGGATATTTTTTAGACTTTTTTTTTTTTTCAGATGTTCTATTTCTTTTCTATGAAGCATCTGAGCAGGAAACATCTTTTCCTTCTCTTTAGGAATGCCGTTATTTTCTTTCAAGGGGTATATTTAGCTTGCAAGGTATCCGTTTTAGAGCAACAACGCTTCATTAGTTCTGCCAAGAGGCCTTTGATCCATCTCTGAGCAAATGTACACAAACCGAGTTCTGTGGCTGCAGAACAACCTAAGTCAGGAAGTGGGGTTAGGTGCCTCTCGTGGCTTGTGCCACGGGCAATCAGAGCAAAGTGCAAATCATTCCCGGGGAGAAATAGGTTTTCTACTACTTCATGACAAGCAATCTCTTTTTGTTGTTTCTCGCTCTGGTTTTGGTCATAAACACAAAGTTTTTTTAGTAGATTTTCACAATGCTGTCTTACCTGTAATTTCAGGTTTGCCATTAAACATATATTATCTGCAGGAAAACCACAACAAAAAGACAAGAAATGATGGAAAGAGCAGAGCAGAATAACAGAGTTCCCTCTTACTTTCATCTTGAGGACCTGAAATACCCCCTGGCATTGCGTTGATCGAATTAACCAGATAATTGACACATTGTCACTGAACATTATACCAGCCTGGAGCTAAGAATTTTTCTTTATGCTTTGCTTAATTTAAACATAAATCCTTATCTCATTCATCCATATTTTGTAGCCCTGACTGACACTAAATCTTTAGAGTGCTCACCAGGTCCTAAATTTTTCCTGATGGAGCTATTTTTAAGAAACGGAAGGAGGACCTCAGTGATGGAGTTCTCCAAAATTGGTCAGGTCCACCATCTGTCTCCTTGCAAATACAGACACCTCCTTGAAAATAGGTCAAAATGTAAGGAGAACTATTTGGCTAAATCCAAATAAAATTTTATTTTTTTATTTTTTTTTTAATTTTTATTTATTTATGATAGTCACAGAGAGAGAGAGAGGCAGAGACACAGGCAGAGGGAGAAGCAGGCTCCATTCACCAGGAGCCCGATGTGGGATTCGATCCCGGGTCTCCAGGATCGCGCCCTGGGCCAAAGGCAGGCGCCAAACCGCTGCGCCACCCAGGGATCCCCAAATAAAATTTTAAAAACATAAAGTCTTCCCTGGGTTCAACCGGATATGTATTTTTTTAACAGTTTCTTACTACTATATGACTAAAATAAGAACTGTAATAATATCTACTAATACAAGGTCGTAGTTTTGCCACAATGGATTAAGGTCACATTTGCTTAGCTGTTGTACAGAATTGTACTTTACTCTTGTACCCTTTTACCTACAGGTTGAATGAAAGCTTACATTAACATCTTAGGAATGTGACCTGTCTGAAAACAATCTAGAGGGAAACTCATATGATTAATTGGACATGCCTTGCTTGTATTTTTAAAGGAGTTACAGTTTCATTCAAAAGTTGCAACCATGTTAGGAGATAAAAAAAAAAGAAAAATCAAATCTAGTAACCTAGCATTATGTCTGTTTTATCTTTTAAAAGAATTTGGGTTAATGACTTTAATGTATAAATTGTACTTTATTGCTCTGAGGAGGACATCATCAAACTTCTCAGTTTTTATCACATGTTCATACCTTTCCAACATCGGTAGAACAAGGTGATTTTTAAAACTTAAAATCACAATAAGCAATAATGTACATTTTCTAAAATGAAACTATATATAAGTATCCAAGTAATCCATGGCTATATTCTTTAAAGGAAGTTAAATAAAGTTCACGTGCCTTTCCATACAACTATGGATTGAACCAAAATGAATACTTTGGGAGCCAAAAATATGTTCACTCCAATATAAAAATGTTGAATGTGTTTTAATAGCCCTGTGGGATGCTGGAATCAAAGTGTGGGAACCTACCAAAGCGAAAAATGCTATTCCATCCACAGAAAGTATAAGTCTGTGAAAGAAAGCACTTTCTCTCTTGGCCTCTTAAAATTTCTGAATGTTCGCTAAGTTCTTATTATAGTGTAAAATTCAGCAGAAGGGTATGTTTGTCAAAATACATGGGGATGGCATTGGGGAGATAATGTTTTTCTCCTTCATATGTATTAATAGATCCTCCCAATATCTTAGCTAGTTCCCATCTTCAACCACTGTGGTATATTTTGATCTAGATAGCTACTTTCAAAGCAGTTTTCCCCATTCACTTCCATGCCTGGTAAAAATAAAATTAAACAAACGTTCATTGGGCACCGAATTTTTTGCCCAGTCGTGTATGAGGCATTGGAGATGCACAAGTGGGTAAGACATAAATCATGTTGCCAAAACATTATAGTCTGTAAAGAGTGAATTTTATATGTGGATCCCATTCTTGTTAGAAGCAACATAGGTTAGAACAAGGAACATCTATACAAATGGTTGGCTCTGCTATTCCCTATGTCACTTTGCATGAGTCACTTAAACTCTCTGGGTCCCAATCTTCTCATTTGAGGCTAAACTAATGTCTTCCACTCTATCCTACGGCAGCACCCTGAGGTGCTTTTATAGCACCCCAAACCCCATAATTGCAGAAAGAGGACGTACTCCTCTTTGTAGCCTCCAAAACTTATTGAATCATTAAGTTGTACACCTGAAACAGATATAACCCTGTGTGTCAACTACTCAAGTAATAATAGTATTAATAAAGCAAATGAAAGGAGAGCTTCTGACCAAAGTCAGGAGTGACAAGCCGAGAGGCCAGCCTTCTCCTTTTCACATCCCAGCCCTTCAGTCCCAACCACGGTCATAATCCGAAGTCCTCTGCAGAGGTCTGAACTTCCGTGATACACATTTTAAAAACCACTGGATTGCACCATCTCTTAGGACTAGTTCTCA